CTTGTGTACATAGCAACCACGTATGATAAAAAGCTGAAGTTCTTTTTAAACCTTTCCATCTCCTGTCCCTCTCACCCTGAGTACACATACTCTGTCAATATTGGCTCTACAGACTACCTCTGCTCTCTGGAGATCTTTTTCAAACTCTGTATGGATCTGTGATATCCCGTCACAGTAAAATCAGAGGCATTGCAGAAAGCCCAGGACTGCCATAACATTTTTTTAATAATTCATTGTACTTCAAAGCTCTTGTTAATGCCTTAACTGAGTTGCATGCTGTTAACTTTTATACCCTCTTCCTTCCTGTTACTTGGATCAAGAGTTAATAGGAATGACAAGTCAGAGAGTTGGAAATAAACTAGATATAAATAATTTACTTTCGTTTTAGTGACTTTGTACAAAAGTCACTAACACAAGTAGTTTGGTTACTAGGATTGGAGGTGCTTTGTCTGATTTTATGTGCTTTTTCTTTTGAACTAAGTTAATTATGTGTTACGGAGAAAATGTTGTCTTGCAAATCTGTTGTGGAAAGTGTCATTTAAGTTATTTTAAATCTGTTTTTTCCCCCTAGGCAAAGGCAAACGTGTGCAGCCCCCCTGGTCTGCCCCTGAAGGGACAAAACATTCTAGGCTCTGCCTCTATAACAGCCTGACACGCAGTAAGGTGACTAAATGAAAGAAAAGTAGTGATTTCCTTAGAAACATATTTAGAGAAGTCATAACATATTTGTTTCTCAAGTTTTTACTCAGTAGACAGGTTCTGTGTTGTAGCCTGCAGAATGTTAACAAGCACATACCAGAGATAGTGTCAGTCAAGTGTGTTTTCTGGGCAAATCTTACAATATACACAATAAATATACATATGCTACAGGTGTGTATATAGCTGTACATTGCATAAGAAAATAAGTTCCTTTCTTTAGATGTTGTATGTGGGGAAAAAGCAAAGTCTCATCTATTATATTGTTGTAATATAAACTGGGAAAACTTGTGGTCTTGTTTGAAGGTCCTTTGGGAAAGAGGAGTATTAAGAATACTAATGTTATATAAGTTGTATCTTATGTGTGAAATTATTATACTCTGTAGCCTTTTTTAATGCAAAAGAAAACCTAATCTTGCCTTTTACAAGAGCAATTTGAATAATGCCCTGCCTAGTTGCCTAGTCCACATCATTGTAATCTTGATTGATGAGAGTGCTAACACACCCTGTTATATCTTTAACATGACAAAGCTAGTGATCTTTTCTTATGTTAAATTTGGGAGTGGAATAAACACTCTTTTTTTTTTTTTTTTGTAATTATAATCCATGTTTTCACATTCTAATTTCCAAACATGAAGTTACTGGCCTGAGATAATGTCTTAAATTTCTTCTGATCACTATACCTTCCCTTTCAATTAAGGAAGTATTTCAGCCTCAGAATGGAAGAAAGGTCTTGTGGTACTGTTGCGGTCCAACAGTTTATGATGCCTCTCACATGGGACATGCCAGGTACTCCAGTTCCTTATTTTGATATAGGTAATAACAGTGCCTGTTTGAAGCAAGAGAGAAGTAGAAAAATGTAGATTAGAAAAAATTTTAGATGAATGTATTTTGAGGCTCAATGCTTGCGATTTAAGATTAAAAACATGTTATAATATTATGTACTTGTATGATTAAAACTTATTAGGAGATGAAGGAACATTAAAACTGCTGATATTTAAATAGTTGTGGATAGAATAGAATAGACTTGAGATGTTCACTAAAAACACCCCTATATCTTTTATGTCTCTAGGTCATATATCTCGTTTGATATCTTGAGAAGAATCTTGAGGGATTATTTTAAATATGACATTTTCTATTGTATGAATATTACAGATATTGATGATAAGGTAAGGTCTTGGAAGGAAGCATGAAAGTCAGTCATGTAATTACCATTTGATAAGCTAAGACGAATCTTAAACTTTCTAATTTAGACATACATTTTGTATATAGTAATTAATTTTTCTCAGTGCTACAGCATTCAGATAGTACCAAAACCTGTATTATTATATAAAAATGAATATTGCAATAAATAATTAAATCTAAGCATTTTGCAAAGACAGCTTATTTTATTTCCCTGTTGTTTATATACTTAATTAATTCTGTTGATGTAGCTGATTAACTATGTATGATGTGTTTAATTTGTGTTACTGCATGTAATTCTTCTGGCTTGTTAAATTTATAAAGATCCTAAAATGCCTTTGGCATGTAGTGGATTTTACTTCCACTTTGTATAATTGTGTGTCACTTCACAAAAATATTTTCATGTTTCTGTTTTGTAGATCATCAAGAGAGCAAGACAAAATTACCTTTTTGAACAGTATAGAGAGAAAAAATTAGCACCAGATCAGCTACTTGAAGATGTTAAAACTGCCTCAGAGGTGGGTGTGGTATTTAGTCCCTGATAGTGTCTTAGGTTCTTACTCAATAATGTAGCAAAGCATCTAATAGCAAAGTATCTAAAGAATGTCTCTGCCTTTGTTACCACCTTAAACTTGCTGCTTTTTTCAGTTATTCTATTTTAACTAGTACCACACAAATTAGAATGATATAGGAACTTCTCATCACTTTCATTTTCCATTGGTTTAGAACTGACAGAAACTATCCCTGTAAAAAGCATGCCTGATTTTTTATGTCCATAGAACTTGTTTGTGGGGGCATTGTTGTTGGAGTGTTGGGGAAAAAGCTTAAAAAAACATTTGTCTGTGTGTTAGGATTCAAAATTTTAAAATAACCCTTTAAAATAGTTTTTGAACAGTGGTATATCCATAGTCTTTTAAAGCTTGTGAGATTTCTCTTATGTACCATTGATGGCTTTGGAAAGAGGAGAAAGTCTTCAAAGCTTTAGAGATGTAATAAATTGTGTAAGCTAGACTGACGGTTGGAGAAGGTGGTTCTCTGTTCATTTCTAGAACTACAGTTAACAAAGAAATGTTCAGTCTGAGTTGAATACAAGCCTGGGAATAGGAGTCCTGGAAATTTTGCCCAACCATCATTGCCTGACATGTTCTCAGCATAGAATTGAATCTGTTTCACATTTAACTTCTCCTTTTCAGGTTTGTGATAATCGACTGTGTAATTAAGGTGATTAACTGTATACAAAATGAAAATTACTAAACAACAGTAATGATGATGTAGTAGTTTATGAAGTCTTTCTGAAATTGGTTGTGAACTAAACTTGTTCAGCTTCACCTTTATTTCTGATGAGGAGTATGTTTCAGTAGTATCAAAGCTTTTTATGGGGCATAAGGCATTAATCATCACTAGCAAGGTACTATGTTGCCTAGATATTGTGTATGGAACACAATGCTACTGTCTTACAAGTTGCTTTTAAAATATATATATTTTTTAATTGTAGCTCTTTTCAGTTAAATTAAATGAGACAACAGACCCAGATAAAAAACAAATGTTGGAAAGAATTCAAAATGCAGTGAGGTCTGCATTTGGTCCTCTACAACAAGCTGTGCAAACAAAACTCCCTGCAGAAGAGATCAACAGATGTCAAGAGGTCAGTTTGAGCTGTTTTTTAAATTGTATTTGGCATATAATTGTTAGGGGTTTTAAAAATAAAATTTAACTTGTAGTAGTTCCCTGAAACATTATGGAAACTTTTATTCATAAAAAGAGCAATGGTGGGCCTGAGGACTTTACAGTACTTTGTGTTCAATACAGGAAATTTCATCCTTGACTTCAGCTGTACTGGTTTTGGATGCTGTTTTTACCAGTGACTTTTTTTGTCCCTTCCACACTGATAAATACTCAGTTATTTTTGCCTTCCCAAAAGGGATTTTTCTCCTGCATGTATCTAGACTTTCTCTTTAACTTTTTTGTCTTGATTAAATAGTTTCAGTATAAATTACTGAACATGCATTTATGACATTCCATACTGATGGCAGTTTTCTACACAACTGTTCCTGTCTCTGGTCAGAGAAGAAAAGACATCCCAAAAAATTATGTTCAAGATAATTTATATCCAAAGACTATTACATTTAATAACAATATTCTTGACTTTATTGGACTTTGGTACTGTCCCAGTAACCAAGTCAGCTAATATAACTACTGGTTTTTAGTAATTGGTTTCCACTTTCATCTTATCTTGCTTTCAGATTATTCATTGTAATTACTGTAGGAAGCATAGGGTATGTGCTCCCTTCTTGAGAAGACTCTCTTTAAATTATCTTTTAAAAAAAAAAAGTCCAGCTATTCTAATATCAAGTGCCTTTATAAAAGTGTATACTAACCTAACAGTATTTTAAAAAACAACCACAAGTTAAGCAATCACACCTTCTGGGCTATATCCTATTGTAAAAAAAAGTAATCTTTTAAGATAAGATTGAAAAGTATCCTTGCTGGTGTTCAAATTAGTCTTTCAAATACTCTTTAGCAATGGGCATGTGAAGGCTGCTGTTAGGATGACCTGGTAGTAATGAGGGGAATCTATGTGATAGAACTGCAAATCCCATCTGCTGTTTACCCATAAATTCCACATGCCTATTTAAGTGAGTGATATAAAAACATATATCACTTATCAGTTTATCTTACTTCCTCTGTTTGTTTCATCCATATTTATGAAGGCCAATATGATAAAAATCTAGTAGAGGCATGGACTGCTTTGTATACATAGCCAAGTACATTTTTCCTTAAGCAAACCTCTGTTCAGAATAAGATCTTTCAGCAGAGTTTAAACAGGGGAAGTCTTTAATCAGTTTCACTTAAAATTATTGTTTTATAGATCCTGTTGGAAGAAGCCAAAGATCTGCTGTCTGACTGGTTGGATGCAAAATTAGGCAGTCAAGTGACTGACAATTCCATATTCTCCAAGCTCCCCAAATTCTGGGAAGGGGAATTTCATAAAGATATGGAAGCACTCAACGTAAGTGAACAAACTTTTTTCTGTTCTCAAAGTGTATGTGCCATGCCTCAAAATGCCCAGTATACTCTTCAGATCCTTAATAGATTTCAAAAACCTCATATTTCAAGCTTATTGATGAAATATTTCCTTTAATGAGAATAGGTAGCTGCTAAATGAACACCTGTTCTGCTTTCATCTCAGCAATCTTAAATCCACTGTGCATGTTACCAGAGTCAGTTAACTGGTGGTCAAGTCTGACATGTGCACTCCAGCCCTACCACTTGATGTAACTTATAACCATAAACTGATTCAGAAGTTCAAAATAGATTCTCTTGGATGCACAAGAGAGCCCTGCCAACCTCAGTGTTTAGATGACTACTTACCAGTCTTCAACCACTAAGAAATTATACGATGATAACAATCAAAGACAGATTTAGCTGATAGAGATGAAATACAGTGTCATTTGTAGTGGTTCAGATCAGTGAAGGTTTATTTATTTACCTGCAAATCAGATGGACTTATTGCCTGTTCTGTCAGAAGTGCAATAAGTGGAAAAGCAGGCATCTGCAGTAGTTTGTTGTTAACATAGCCTAAAAGGCTGATAAAAATATGGCCACATCACATTGTTTCAGAGCAGAATGCTTGAAATAGGAGTCTTAGATTCTACGGTCACTTGTTTTTGAGTGAGTTTTTAACCAATCTATAATTATATATAGTGCATATTTGCGTATGTATAAATATATATATATAAAAATAGAAAATTCTACTTTATAGGTTTTACCTCCAGATGTTTTAACACGGGTTAGTGAATATGTGCCAGAAATTGTGGATTTTGTGAAAAAGATTGTGGATAATGGTTATGGGTAAGTTTGCTGCTGGATGCTTTACACTTATACTGTATTAGAGCTAGAATTAACAATTCCAACACTTAACTGTGAACTGTTTTCATGTGCAATAGTAGTCTTTTCCAGAAGTAGTGTTTTATCAAATAACAGGTTCCTTTGCAAACGACCTGTTATTTCTTGCCTGGTGAAAATGTGCTATTCTATGCTTCTTATGATGTGTTACAAAGAGAGAAGATAATTTATTCAATCTATAGGGTGACATCCTCATTCATTAAAAGAAATAGTCAAAGTCTCATCCTGGCCTTCAGCAAGGGGTTTCAGAAATGGCTAGAAATAATTTATGTAATGTAAGTTTTACATTTAAGTAATGTAAGTTTTAAAAAAAAAAGTAATTGTCAGTTGTTTTTCTGCCATTGTCTAGTATTTGTGAAAATATCTAGCATTCTAGAAGTTCTCAAGTATCATAATAGATTCCTGTCTGAAATTTTTGAGTTCTGTTTCTGTTAATAATCTCAATTTTTTTGGATGTATTTTTATTGAGAAAAAAGCAAACCCGTGGTTCAGACTGCCATAATTGCATATTGTTCCTTCAAAGCTATGTTTTAAAATTTTCTCTTAAAAAAAAAAAAGACAGTTAAAAATTGCTTGCACTGAATTATCAGCATTCCTGGTGGTCCCAAAACTTACTTTTTTTGTCAGAGTTTTTGTTATGGTTATAGTGGGACAAAGTTAGCCAAGTGAAGAAGGGCAAAATCAACTGTGAAACAAACATGATTCAGGTTATAATATTGCAAATTAAAGGGACTAGGAGTATTGTAGATACTTCTTCTCTTGGGACTGTCATCTGAGGTCTCACCTCTTACCAGCTTAACAAAAGATGTTAGTTGTTTTCCCGTTGGTCAATTTTATTATGACTTTCAACGATTTGTTGGAAATCTTTATGGTAAGGCCTTAAAACTTAAGCTCACCTAAGTAATCTTTACAACAGTGAGGTCTACTATACTGTCTGTGGTTTCACTAGAGACCTTAGGTTTAAAACAGTAATTTTGGGGATAAAATTCTGTTAAGTCATGGTAAAAAGTTAGCTAAATAACGTACTTTATCTTCTCAGGTATGTGTCCAATGGATCTGTATACTTTGATACTATGAAGTTTGATTCCAGTGAAAAACACTCCTATGCTAAATTGGTTCCTGAAGCTGTAGGTGATCAAAAAGCTCTGCAAGAGGGTGAAGGTAAAAAGGGGAAATAATGATTTGCTAAAGTTGCTGAAGATACTGGTTGTGTATTGATCTCTTCAATTGATTTCACTGATGTTTGGATCAAAGTTACTATGAGAGATGAGTGGTTTACCTGCTGCGTTTCTTTTACTGATAGATTGGTAAAATTGAGCCAGCATGTTAGGTTTGGGCCTAACCTGACAAAAAAGAACCAGCCACATGGTCACACACTCACCTCATCCCCCTCACCACCTCCTCACACTGAGATGGGGAGGACAAAGGCCAACTGGAAGCTCATGGATCAAGACAAAGGGCAAGAAGGGTTCTTCACCAATTATGGTCACGGGCAAAGCAGACTCAACTTTGGGAAAACTAGTAATTTAACACAAATCAGATGCACACAGGATACAGACAACACAAGGAGCAGAGCTTACATACGTTACCCCTACCTCTTCCTCCTTCCCCCCAGCAGCACAGGCAGACAAGGGGATGTGGTTTAGAGTCAGTTCACAGGCTGGTAGTTCCTGCTAGTCCTTCCCCCTCAGGAAGAAGGATTCCTTACAGTCCTTCCCTCTTCTCCATGGGGTCCCTCCCACGGGAGAGAGTCCTTCATGAACTTCTCCAAAGGTTCATGAGTCCTTCCAATGAGATGCAGTCCCTCAGGAGTAAGCTGCTACAGCGTGTGCTTCCCACAGAGTCATGGGCTGCTTCAGGAAGTCACCTCCCGTGGGACCAGGCTCCTTCACAGCTGCAGATCCAAGTCCACATTTGTCCCTCCTGGTGCCTTCAGGGAATGCTTCACCATGTTCCTCCATGAGGTACAGGGAGACAGCTTGTCATTTTCCCATAGGCTGCAGGGGAACTTCTGATCGGGCACCTCCTTCCCCTTCTTCCTCACCAGCCTCCAGATCTTCACCCGGCATTGCCCTCACCTTACCAGCTCAGCTGTTCTTTGCGCTCTCTGCACTCAGATCTTTTCTCAGTTCTTTCATATGTCAGTCTCACAGAGGAGCATCTGTTGTCTCTCTAATGGCTCACCTTGGTCACCTGAGCCTGGGAGCTTTTAGTATCTGCTTACAGGAGCCACTCCTAGGGCCTCTCCCCTGCTACCGAAACCATGTCAGAACCAAACCAGCACACAGCACTTTTCTGAAAGCTTTTAATTGTAAAATACTAAGCTATGTTATTCGTTCTAGGATCTTTTGGGGTTGGTTTCTTTGGGGTTTTTTTGTTTGGGTTTTTTTAAAAATCAGAATTGTGAATATCTAAGTCATTTGTCTGTAGCCCAGTTATTTGGCAGTTCATCTGGTTCAAAGTACGAGGAGCAAAGACTTGAAGCTGTGTCTTCAACATGCCAGCGTAAAGCTCTCCAGTTCAGGCTGTGGTTATTTAGTGACAAATAATTGCATTCCTCTTTCATACTGAGAGCTCTTTTTTACTTTATAAGCCTTGTTGTGTTGAACTAAATCCAAATACAGGTTTTTTGAGTTGAGCCACAGCAGAGGAGTAGCTTAAAATGCTCAATAAACCAGACTCATTAGTTATCTGGTCCTAAGGTTGGACGGGTTTACAAGTGAATAATTCACAAAGTCTATCACAAGAATATGGGAAGATTTTAATATAACCCTCACACTAAGTGAAACTAGGAGACTCCTACTAGGTGAAGCTAGCAGTATCTAAAAGATGCAGCTTAAAATGGATGCTTGGGTTTTTTATTACTTCAAATCCTTACAGCCGAAATCTTCTATGTTAAATAAAATGTACTAGCTTAAATCACCATCCTTGAGGTAACAGGAATGTATCCTTTCCACCATGTAACCAGTCATTTTTTGTTGAATTGTTGTGTCCTTTTGCAAATGGGAACTGATGCTGAGTGATTAATATAACTAAGCAGGAGTATGCATATGTCAAGTTACCGCTTGTCAGCTTAGCTGCTTTAGGTCATTTGTAGTGGTTGTCCTTACAGATAATGTCATTTTGACTATTACAGGAAGCAGAAAGCCAAGCTTTGAGTCGAGCTAATTAATATAAATAAAAGCATGATACTTTTCTGTTTAAAATGCATAATGTTAGATATTGTAAACACCTTTACGTAAAAATTGACAAGTCCAAGTTTGACAGTTTGGTCTTTAATCTGCCTTGGATTCTTCTGTGGTAGGTGGTATTGTTAACCACTTTCAGTGTTGGGCAGTACTCCAGAAATAATAAATTCTCTGTGTTTTAAAGTTGAGTTTTAATCACAATATATATAATGTCTTGTATATATGTAATTATATGTAAGGGTTATAATGAGAGGACCATCTAAATGATCATAAGGAGCTAACAGCAAATATTGCATAACACATCTGTGATGGTAACAAAACAGTAAACATAGCTATTGAACAACTACCAGCCATTCTGTGCAGCAGCTGAGGTTAGGAGTGGAAGAAATATCCTAGGATCCTGTTGTGTGTGCAGGTTAAGACAATCCTAGCCTTAATTTGGATTCTTTTAATTTTGAAGTGGATTGATTCTGCAGTCTTACTTGTCTTAAGTATAAGGGGGTTTATTTCTATATTTATTTTTTCTGTAAGAAATAATTTTTCTGTAAGAGAGAATGTAGATGAGTATCATGTAAAAACTTAGACAGTAGTGCAGCTGGTACTTGTCAGCTTTCCTCTCAATCAAACATTAATAAAAAACCCCAAAGGATTATCAAGGTTAGTTATGAGGAATTTTGAGTGCTAAGTGGTGTGTTTGGGGTTTTTTATATGCTTTTTTTCTTATTCACTTGATATAAGGTACAGTGAGTCAAAAAAGAATAATACTGGTGTTTAAATAAAATGTACATATTTACATTTTCTCTTTTGACAGGTGACCTGAGCATCTCGGCTGATCGCCTAAGTGAGAAACATTCTCCAAATGATTTTGCTTTGTGGAAATCCTCCAAGCCAGGAGAGCCCTCATGGGACTCTCCATGGGGAAAGGTAAGGATATTACAGTCAGCATTTGGATCTTCTCCACCTTCTTAAATAGCATTTTACACAAATATGTTGCCTCACCTCATATTAATAATGTAGAGATTATCAAGATACTGTATTAAAATGTGGATTATGTTGCTCTGTAAATTTAAGAATTTAAAAGGTGTATCAGTCTGTCTATTTGGCACTTTTTAAACAGAACTGCATGCAGGTTTACGATGGCTGTTACTGGCTTTTTTTATCCTCTTTATCTATCGGCTTCATCTGAGTGATTTCTGTATTTTTTTCCTTGTGATAAAAAATATTAATCTTTTTTTAAAATAATAAAAAGCAGCATAATCAAAGATGTGGAATTGTAGATGTGAGTGGGCATAGTGGGTGTTTGTTTGGTGGTGGGTTGTTTTTTGTTTTTGTTTTCTTCTGGGTGGACAGTTGGACTTGGTGATCATAGAGATCTTTTCCAACCGTAACAAAAAAAGAAAAAGCATTACAGATTTATATGCCACGTTTGGTCTTTAAACCCAACAGTACTTCTGTGAAGTTGAGATCCTTTTTTCTTGGTAACACAGTATGTCATTTTCTCAGGTGTATAACTGCTTAGCAGCAGACCAGTGGGGAAATGATACATAGGCAGGAGAGGATGACAATTCGCTGGTAGCTAAGTTATGTCTTTTTCATAACAGGGTCGTCCAGGATGGCACATTGAATGTTCTGCAATGGCTGGATCCCTTCTAGGAGAATCAATGGATATTCATGGAGGAGGGTTTGATCTCCGATTTCCCCACCATGACAATGAACTGGCACAGTCTGAGGTGAATGAACAGGCCTTCAGCTTTGGCAGTGAAAAAGCAACATGCTTTGCTTTGACTGTAACTTACACAAATCACTCCACTTTTAAAAATTAACGTGTGTATTGTATAAGCATAACTTTTTGTACTCAGGATTTTATTCTTAAATTATCTTACCTCATGGTTTGTGTGTAAACAGTGTTGGGTCTTTGGGGTTTTTTGGTTTTGCTGCAGGCCTACTTTGAAAACGATCATTGGGTTCGGTACTTTCTGCACACTGGCCATTTAACAATTGCTGGCTGTAAAATGTCCAAATCTTTGAAGAATTTCATTACCATAAAAGATGCACTGAAGAAACATACAGGTAAACGTTACTTTGGAATTTAACTGCTTTTGATGTGCTTTGTGTGGTGACTGTGGACATTCTGTTTTTCAGGCACATAACAGTTTGCAAAACCAACTAACTTCAGGTGTTTTTCTTTTCACCAAGTTTAGCTTCCTTGTTCTTCTGTTCCTTGTCTGTATTATCTATATGGGTTATAGTGTTCTTGCTTTTTTAGTAGATATGTTGATAGTAAGAATATTAAAAATTGTGTTCTTAGCCACTGCAGTATTGGAGGCCATAACAATGCTTTAGGTTGTGCTTATTTTTCTGGTTTGTTTTGAAACTCCTAATAGCACGACAGTTACGGTTGGCTTTCCTCATGCACTCTTGGAAAGATACACTGGATTATTCAAACAATACCATGGAGTCAGCTATTCAGTATGAGAAGTTTATGAGTGTAAGTAAGATTTCCATTCCTCCTCTGGGTCTCTAAGCTCTGTGTTCTCATATGTGTTTCATGAAAGAGAATCCAAGGATATACAGGTCATATCCACAGACTGAGTTTGCCCTCTAAATTCATCAGTAGGGATGTCACAGTATTCGTTTAGTTACCATTGAACAGTCAAGTCTTGTAAATTCCAGACATCTACATTTCTCTGCAGATGGGTGCTCTCTCCAAGTTTTGACATCTCTGAGCAGCTTGGCACTGGCATATAAGATTAGTTTCTCAGTTCAGCTTCCTTATAGGACTCAGTCGAACACTCTCATAATGTCTACCAGATCAGACTCCACACAAATAAAGCCAAAGGGGAAGAGGGAGTATCAGCTCTACCTTGTCTCCTCACCATGTACATTGAACACTTGCCTCTGTGCCTTGCAGACATATCTGAGGGGACAGGGACAGTACCCTTCTTAGTTTGGAGCTATAATGTAAACCCACGTTTCCCACAAGGAGGCTGTACAGCATTTTGAGATCATTGATCTTGGTCTCTCCAGCTGAAGCTGTTCTGCTTTTTATGTAAAAATGTTTTGTTTGGTTTGTGCTACAGAGTAAGTGAAAAGAACTTTTTGCCAATCTGGATGTCTGTGTAAAATAGGCCCTCACTATAAAGCCATTTTATTTCCTCAGCTTTTATTGCTAGCAACACATTTAAAAATCTGCCACAAGACCTATTACCAAATTTTTAGAAATTCTAAAGTATCATATTGAGCAGCTTGGAGTATCTTAGTGTATCATGGAAAGCAAAGAGTTAGAACTGAACTACAGTATGACTGTGATTTACAGAATTATGCAAAATGTGTGGGTTTTTTTGTTTTGACAGACATTCAGTAGATCCTCGCTGAAACAGTGTTGAAATAATAAACTTTAGGAGGCTAATTAAGAAATAATGCCTTTTTGCAGTAAATATTGATTGTGTCTAGTTTAAACTGAGTTTTAGATATATTCTTCTTTTACAGGAATTCTTTTTAAATGTGAAGGATATTCTTCGGGCTCCCACTGATGTGACAGGCCAGTTTCAGAAATGGGAAAATCAGGAAGCAGAGCTGAATAAAAATTAAGTGGAGCATGTAGCTACATGTTTAATTACTTTTTTTCTTTGCAAAAAGACTCACCGTGTATATAGTGATGCTTATAATTCTAGAATTTCCATTGAATATGCTCTATACAACCTAATGAATTTAATCTTGTGAGAGTTTATGAAGTATAGATTAAATTGTTAATTTCCCTTTTGTTTGTTAAGTACACTGGCATGCCTCATTGCCC